CTGGCTTCCTCTTGCTATCTAGACTACGCACGTATGTATGCATAGACATGCATGCATACATACATATACTGAAGAATACATATATTTATGCATATATAAATAAGAAGTGTTGGGGCCAGCCCCATGGCCAAGTGGTTAAGTTCGCGCACGCCTCTTTGGCGGCCCAGGGTTTCACCAGTTGGAATCCTGGGCGCAGACATGGCACCACTTGTCAGGCCACGCTGAGGCGCCATCCCACATGCCACAACTAGAAGGACCCATAACTAAAATATACAACTATGTACCAGGGGGTTTTGGGGAGAAAAAGAAAAAATAAAATCTTTAAAAATTATATATAAGAAGTGTTGCTGGGTAATAGGACTATAGACAATAATTTTGCTTCCTTTCACATTTTTATATTTTTCGATTTCTACCATAAGCATATGTTACTTTAGTGGTGGAAGAAATAAAACTCTTGTAAAGAATAATAAGAATAAATAAGAATAAAGCAAATCATACAAGAATACTTATACTATGGTTCTATTTATATTAAATTGCAAGAGTAAAAAACATTGTTTAGGGGCCGGCCCCGTGGCCGAGTGGTTAAGTTCCTGCGCTCTGCTTCGGCGGCCCAGGGTTTCATCAGTTCGAATCCTGGACACAGATATGGCACCGATCATCAAGCCATGCTGAGGCAGCATCCCACATGCCACAACTAGAAGGACCCAACTAAAAATACACAACTATGCACCGGGGGGCTTTGGGAGAAAAAGGAAAAATAAAATACTTAAAAAAATATATATTATATTGTTTAGGATATGCACTTTTTTCGTAAAACTATAAAGAAAAGCAAGAGAATGATTCACACAAAATTCAGGAAAGTGGTTACCTCTGAGGGAGAGAGGACGGAGATTCAATTAGGCGGGGAATCCCAAGAGGCTTTACAGGTACTAGAAATCTCCTTTTTGTTAAGCTGGGTAGCAAAAACATAGGTCTTCAATTTATCATTCTTTAAATTGAAGATTTATGTTATATGTACTTTTATACATATGGCTTATTTCACAATTTAAAAACAAGACATAAACAGGGTTGAGGAATCAGATTTGGAGGCTGTAACTCAGACTCTTTCTTTCACTTATTGACTGTGTAACCTTAAGCAAGTCATTTAACCTCTCAGAGCAGTTTTTCCTCTTATTTTACAGATGAGGAAGCGAAGAGCTAACATATGTTTAGCACTTTACTGTTTAAAGCTCCTAGACTGCAGTACAAATATGCAAATATGCAGATAAACTATGAGATGATAATACAAAGTAATACATTCTTAATAAATAATAGAACATCACAGCGCTAAGAACTCAATGGTAGGACACACAAAGCTATTCACATTCTGGTCTCTTCCTGTCTAAAACTAATGGCAACAACTAAGATTTTTTAATGTGTACTATGTAATACACTGTGTTAAATGCTTTCCATGGATTATTTTGTTTAATCTTCAAACCAGCCTTATGACATTAGTTCTCTTATGCCCACTTTACAGATGAGACCATTGTGCCCAAGGTCACACAGCCAGTAGTAAATGGTGGACAGACTTCAGAACCCACACCCTTCACCACATTAGTTCTGCCTCACTTATCTCACTATATTTAAATCATCTATCCCTCCCACAACACTGAAAGCTCCTTGACAACTGTTTTTGTTCATTTTCATTTCCCCTGGCACTTAGCAGGCAATAAGTAAATAAACAAATATTGAACAAATATTTCGTATATGTACAGTGTTTTCAGGACATAAAGTTATTTCAGGACATGAACTGATTGGTTCCCCTTGACAGCCTTATAAAGTATGAACTTGTTTTGTTTTTTGCCCATTTTAACCATAATTAAGTGTACAATTCAGCTGAAGTAAGTACATTCACAATGTCGTGCGCCCATTCCCACTAAGTATGAAAGGTTGTTAATGACTTCTCTGAACTCACTCAGCTATCAAGTGGTAGGATGGGGATTTAAACCCAGGACTCTCGACCCCTAAATTCACAGGTTATTCATTCCATCAAGGTGCCTGTCTACCAATACCTCCATCAGCTCTCCTTCTCATCAGGACATCGGGGGAATCAAACGAGGTAAAGACACTAAAACAGTCTACATACATTTCTACTGCACAGGTGACCACAGCTGTGAGGGAAAAAAATCCACCAAGACATTTCTCCCAGGTGATTAACTTTCATTTTGAGCTTTCAAAAGCTGACTTTAATATAAATATCCCACCTCTAGATGAAGCCTGAAGATCCACAAAAGCAATGTCTGGACCCCAGAGTAAAGTTATGAGGAGAACTGCTTACATTAGTTAGATTACACTCTCATCAAATTACAGGTAACTGCTCAAACCTGATTTTTATTATAATACAGAAAGCTTCCTCATAACAAAACACTTTCAATTGCAAGGATAAGTCCAACCTGGCATCATTCTCCCCATTTTGGAATTGTTAAAAAAAAATTCTAAATATTGGGTATTTTTATGTGCTCAACTGTGAAAGCCAAGGAAAGTGGTTTGCTTATGAGCTGAACTCTGAAGCTTGAACAAAAAAAGAATTATTTTGATCCTACTGGTGCCAATATTATCCTCTTTACATCCCTCAATTTTTTTCAGTCTGAGCTCTAATCAACAGCCTCTTCATGTTTAACATATCATAGTTAATGCAATTAAGTCCTGAAAACCGTTTTCCTAAAGATGTTTCCTCCATTCACACTCCTCTCTACCTTCCAGCATCACCATTCTGCCATAAGAATGAGCATATCATTAAGCTTTAAATAAAATTTCTGATGAAGAGACGGAGATATTGTTCTGTAGTTAGTGCCGAGTGCCACATCAACAACATCCCCTAAAAAAATAAAAGATGATGCTCTATACTTTATTTATTCACATCTGACAGAATTCCGACCACCTGAATTCCTTTAGAAGAAAAGTCAATCTATAGAAATACGGTCCAATTACTTTAAATTTTATCAAGTAATGTCAAAAGAGAATCAAATGAAAAACTCCATCAATACCAAACCATCTCACCAATGAATATTTATGACATTTCCATATTTCCTGTCTTCTCTCTGTTTACATAAAGCGGTAGTGCCAAGATTCATCTCAGGATTATTAGCCTGCAATACAATGATGGGCCTAATTGCCTTGCAAACCAGGACACCAATAAATGGAGTCTTCAAGCAATCAATTTAAAGATGAGAAAAAAAAAGCCCTAAGCTCTTTCTGCATACATGCACGTTGCCTGACTAGGAAATAAATTCAGCCTCATATTCTTCAGTCTCATTCATCGGTTCTCAAGCAAGCCATGCTCCCTTAACTACCTGAAGCTCATCAAATCTATTTAACTCCAAATTCCAGAACTAATTTTTAAACGCACCAGGGGGAGGACAGAAAGGAGCAGACAGACATCATAGAGAAAGGTATCTATCACATTCCAGCTTGATGTTCCCCACCTTTAGTTGGAGAGTGGCTTTCTCCCCCCAACTTTCTTTTTATGATATATAAATAATAGAACACACTCTCCCCTCCTTAATTCTACCTTAACTGAGGCCCCTCTCAACTTTACCCTTTGGGTTGATTTGCTTCCAAATATGATACTGATATAAATGAAACAGAAAGATTAAACTAACAGCTTAAGATGTCCTCTAGGAAAGAGAATCTTTAATGTACCTTCTCCCCTGCAAAGTCCCCTGTCTTACTGTCCCTCCCCCAACCACAGCCTCCAAAGCTGTCCATTTAAGTCCAACCCCTAACCCTGTTGTGTCTCTTGGAGGCCATCCCAAACCTTCCTCTCCAGAATCATCCAATCCACCTCTTCCCAGCACTGCTCACTGCCCCTCTCCATCCTCTCTGCCCCATCCATACCAACAACTCCATGTCTCCCACCCCTTAAATAACCTCTCTGCCACTTTACCATTAGCAACCACTTCTCCAATCCCCTAAGTTCATCTCAGACATTCCTTCAAAACTCCCACTGCCACCTTAGCCAAGGGACATTTTCTTCAAGATACCATCCCCCAACCTTGCTCACCACCTGCCACTATTCTTTCAGTGAATCCAGCTCAGCAGCATCTTCTGTGCCCTCTGCCTTGACCCTGCACCCAGGGAGCCACCATGCCCCTTCCCGTTGTTCTAAGACCACCCTAAATCTTATCTCACTGACCCCCCCCCCCCACAATTTCAATCCTTGTCTGCCCATTTGGGGCCTAACTTCTAATTTATCCCCCTCCTGCCAGCTCACCATCACACTCTCCTCACTGAAAGTCCGACCCCCACCCCCCCAGCTCCTGTTCCAATCTTCAAAAGCACTCCCCAGGAAAACCCCAAATTCTACCCCCTTTGCTCTCCTAACCCACGCTATTCCATAAGTCTCCACCAATTCCACCACCCCCAGATGGCAAACGCCCACTTCAAGCTCAGGTCTCAACCCATGCCAAGCCCTTTACCCCCAGCTCCTACCACCTCACTTAGCCTGCCCCAGGTCCACCCCAAATTCCACCCGACTGAATTAACCCCCTCCAGAGTCCTACCCAACCCTGCAAGTCCACTCTCCATTGAAATCATCCCTCTACCCTGCATCCGGCTCGGATCCCAAGCTGTCAACTGCTCCAGGCCAACCCCAAATCCACCACCCTCATCCAGGCCCCTCCCCCATTAAAAGCCATCCCACTCCAGTCTCATCCTCCATCTCACCCAAAACCATCCCAAATTCCACCCCGACCCCCCCCACCCCACGCTCCTGTCCCAGGTCCGGTCATTCCCCATTAAAAGTCCCCTTCCCTTGTCCCCCCCGAAACCCGCTTGGGTCCCACCCTCACCCCACCCCCAGCCCGCGCCTGGACAAGTATCCCCTGCCAGCCCGCCGTTCCACTGCGACCTCAACCCCCTTCCGCCAACCCGCGCGGGGGTCTGCAGCCCCCACTCTCATCCTCCCCAGTACCACCCGCCCCGGCTCAGAGCGAGCGGACCCGCGGGGGGGGTCTCCTCACCGACGAGCCGCTGCAGGCGAAAACGGCGGCGGCGGTGGCCGAGGCGACGATGCCCTTGTCTTCTCTGGAGGCTACAGACGCGACGCTCTCGCTCCCTCGCCCGTGTCCAGTAAGGTGGCGGATGGCGCGCAGGGACCGGGAGCCTCCTCCTCAGCGACTCGGCTCTGAATCCTCTGCAGTAGCCGCCGAGGAGCCCGACGGGTGGGGGAGGGGGCGCTCGGCTGCGGGCGAGGGAGGAGGAGGCGGAGGGAGGGGGCGGGGGACCGCTGAGAAGGGCGGGGAAGGAGGAGCCGGTGCGGCGCCGCGACACGTCCCACAGCCTCAGTGCGCCGGGACCACAACTCCCGGCATGCCCTGCTCCGGCCCGCGCGCAGCCCGCGCCTCCGGCCTCACGCCCAGTGCGAAGGGGCCGCGCCCTCCGAGGTCACGGACAATGGAATAAAGCCTACCATCCGCGAGCTGCTTTTGTAGACTCAAAGACCCCTTATCAGGGAAGTTAGGTCACCGTGCGGCCCCATCCCGAAGTGGTGATGTTCGCAGCGTCCCCAACCACTTTACGTGCGCGCGCGCACTCACCCACACGCATACCGCCCCCTCAGCCTCCGCCCGCTGGACTACATTTCCCAGCGTGCCCATAGCCTCCCGCCCTCCTTCCGGCCCTTCTCAGACCTGGTACTACAGTTCCCAGGGAGTGTGGTTTCTGCGAAATGCTGGGAGATGCAGTTCTCAGTTCTTCCTCCATGTTAAGAAAAAGAAGTGAAAGAGGAAAAAGCCGACCCACCGAGGACAGGCTTAGATGGGCTAGATCACCTGTGAGTCTCTACTCTCTTCGCCATTCCGGCTGCCACTCTCTCACACCAGAACTAATGCAGCAGCTTCCTCCTGGTCTCCCTACAAATCTGAAGACGATTTGGCAATTTGAATCCACATATACAAAGGGCGTCCTTCTTGACTCAGCTCCATTACTTTTAAGAATTTACCTTAAAAAGATAACCGAACAATTTGGAAGAGATGAATGCACGAGGTTGTTATATGAGGTTGTTGATTACAGAGGGAAAAACGTAAATGTTCATCAATAGGGGGCTGGTTAAATAAATTATATATTCCAACAATGCAGTACTAAGCATCCATTTAAAGTAATGATGTAGATCTATTTACTGACATGAAAAGCTATTCACAATTTATTCTCTAGGGAAAAAAGTTGATTACAGAACAGCATGTTTAGAATGGTGAAATTTATGTGAAGTTTGAGACAGTATCGTATAAGCATAGAGAGTTTTAAGGAAAGAGGTTCCCCAAAATATTCTCTGTGAGTATCTTGGAGTAAAGGGTGTCAGATTTCAAGTAATTTCTATTTTCATATTACCTGAATTATTTAAAGGAAGCACATAATTTTTTAAGCTATAAGACTTCTGAAAAAATATAGTTTCCAAATCCAGCTACCTCTCTTTGCTGCCTAAAAGCTTTCCATGGCTTCCTATTGCCCTTGGTGATGCTCCAGGACTAGGCCTGTCTGGTTTTTCTGTGAGCTCAACAGTTCCACTATTAAAACAAATAATGGTGGTCACTTAAAATTCATAAAAGAACGTTAAGTTAGTAGGGAAGATTTTCTCAGTTTTTATTGTCCCTTCTCAAATTTTTCCTTCTTCTGGCATTTCCACTCCTGATTCCTCCTGTTCTGCTCATTCTTGAAACTGAAGCCAAAGTCCTACCTTCGCTAGAACATATTTTAGGCACACTGATTTTCCTTCTATCTAAATTCTTAGAGTAACGGTTTCTAATCTGCGGGCCAGAGATCACTGTGGGGAAGGGGAGTGAAGAGGAAGGAACAAAGTTATTGTGAAAGGTCTACAAAGCTCTACTTAAACAAAGCGTTGTCTGTAGACTGAATAAATGTCTTACACTTAAAAAACTTTTTTCCTCCTTTTGTGTCCAGCTCTCCTAGAAAATGGAATATCATATCAGATGATCTCTGATTTAGCATAAATCCTGTGTTCGATTACAGTATTTAGATTTTATATGTCATTATTCCTTGGTGTTCTGCAAGAAAGACCAGAACATTCAAGCTCCACTAGCCAGCCCACTGGAGAATCACAGGCCTACTGGAGAAAGCCCAGGTTGCCTAGCTCAGGGGTTAGCTTGGGCCACAGTCCTGCTTCAGCCGATCTCTTCAGCTTCACCCCACCTAAACCTGGTTACACTCCTATCCCTTGACTCATTTTCCCCAAATATAGCAGGCACTGTCGTTTTCAAACTGCCTATCTTGTTTTTCATCCTGTTCTCCCAGCCTTAAAATCCCAGCACAACTCCTCCCCGCCTCCCTACTCTCCCCCCATCCCCGCCCCACCACCCGCCTAAAGCCTAGCCCCTCTGCCTTTTCTGAGAATAGTTAAGAAAAGTGCCTATGACATGTTGGCTATGTCCCTTCCCTTCTCTGAGGGTTGCACTGGCCATCCCTTCTTCTAACTTTGTTCACTCCTTCTCCTCCTCCATTTCCCCGCTTCCACTGTCAGAAAGTGGAGGCTGGGAGGTCAAAATTAGAAGAGGTCTGGTCTGTCCAGCAAGTAAAGCATTATCTGAGCTAGGGAAATAGGTATGAGGAAACTTACTGGACTAGGAATCGGGGAATCAGATCCTAAATTAGACCTTGCATTGAACTTGCTGAGTGTCCCTTAACTTTTCTGAACCTCAGTGTTTATGTCTGTAAAATGGAAGGAATGATTCCTAACCTCTCACCTCATAAGGTTATTAGGAGAATCCAATAAAACAATGGGTATGAAAGTGCTTTGAAGACTGTAAAGTGCCCCTTATAGTCCAAACTATTCATCTGAGAATTCTTTTTCCAAATCCCTGCCAAATCTTGGCATGTAAACTTTTTACTGCAGCTTATATTCTTACTAATGAATTTTTAAAGTATTTAAGGAACTAACTCCATTAAGCCAATCTAATTACTTGATAAATTTTCTATGTAACACAGCCAAACAATTTCTCACTTTTCTAGATTTTTTTCTATGTTGAATTTTCTTCAAGATATATTCTTTATCAGTTTTCCAAGAAAGATTTGATTCATCAAACAATTGCCTTTTATCTTTATCAATGTTTACTGATCACTGCTTCAGCTGTTATGAAATTTCTAGTCATTATTTCCATCAAGTCCACCTTTTCCTGGGAGCAATTTGAGCCATTGTCAGTTTTATTTTGTGTTGAATACTTCTACCAAGTGGAATTTTCCCAGGGGTCAACTTTGCAATGTTCAATGTTACCAACAAAGATGGGATCATTCAGTTTGCTTTTCCATCCATAATAAATTTTTACCACGTGTAGTTTTAGCCATTGTCAGTTTTATTTTGTGTTGATTATGTCTACCACATCCAATTTTTTCTGCAACCCAACCAAAACAAACTCAGGGTCAAAATAGCAGTGTCAAAACGCTATCCATTGCCTATTACTATCTGATTAACTTGGACTGTGAAATGGTTTTGTCCTAGCTATGTTAATGAGCTGGCTTCGAGCTCTCTTTCAGAGCATCTCGTTGGGAACCTTGGCACACGTGTGTGGGCTGGAGTATTACTTTAAGAATTGCTTTAGAATTGCAGGAAAATGGACATTAGAGACGATGCTAGGAGAACTGATCTTTAAAGAGCCAGGTGCAGTGCTGATGTCTAAGATCCATTATCTTTAATCCTTTAGCCTAAACTTCTTTCACATGCCGTTTTATAGTGGAGGAAATTGACACCCAGAGAGAGGAAGAACTGGCCAAGTTAGGATCAGAAACCAGACCCTGGTTTAATTCTCAGTTAGTGCAATTTGAATGATTATACGTTCCAAAGTTATCTAATTTAATTTTTTGACTTTTGCAATCATCTTGTTGGAAAAATTAAATTATAATTTTTGAGGTTAGCTGAGATACAAAACAAGAGAAATACTCATGAATATAAACAAAGCGTTCTTAAACAGACTTTTGTGACAGCAAATGAGGCAAAGAGTACGAAAATGTTTTGTAAATGACCCAAACCTGGGCAAATGGAAGTTACTGCCATTTGTGATGAAGGCTGTGATATAAACCTGTTATGCCAGGTTGACAGACTGCTAGAAAACCGATCACACACACTAACATTCAACAGATGGGATTCAAATGCCCACCCTAGTATTAATTCTAATAGCCAATATTAGAGGAATAAGACTGCATACTGCCTATCCTTTTAAGACCAAATTCAGACATTAGGAAGCCTCGCCTGACCCCCAGTTACATGAGGAGCCCACTCACCGCCATAGCATGCTCACCCAGTATGTCCATTGTCTGTTTACTGCCCTCAAGGATAAGGACCAGTGTGGTCTGGTCCATCTCTGTGGCCCAGAGCGAGTTCAGCTTGGAGCTTCCAACAGAGTAAGGTTTCAATAAATGGTGGTTGAATTAATCAACCAATCAATCAATTGGCATGACAAGTATATAGACTATATAGATAATCAGTTAAAACGACAAGGGAAATACCTCAATAATGCTGGGGAAAAACATTTTTTTAATGACCAGAGAAAAGTGCATGTTAGGTAAAGTTAAGGGGAAAAGTAAATCACAAATGAATCTGCACGAACTGAGTACAGCTAGCAAAGCTCCCATGCAGCAGCAGCAGTCTGAGGAGAGAACCTTTATGTCCTGGGTTCAGATCCTGCCTCAGCTAGGATTGGGTGTCCTCAATCAAGTTGGTCCCCTCCTGCACCTGTTTCCTGGCTGACCTTGCAGAACTCCCAGGGCAGATAAAAGACTTAATTAAAGTACCAGATGCTTTGCAGCTTTGCACGGTGTGAAGAGCTGACAGAGGTGAGGGTTGTTACTGACAAAGTTCCGAAGTGAACTTGGAGAGAAGTTTACATTTAGGCGATCCTTTATATAAAGCTACTCAAGTTCATAAACCCAAGAAAAAAAAAGCGTACTAATTACAATGAGTTGAATTGTGTCTCCCAGAAAGATACGTCCACGTCCTAACCCCCGTACCTGTGAATGTGACCTTATTTGAAGGTAGGGTCTTGGCAGTTAAGAATCTCAGAGTGAAATCAATGCTCAATTTAGGTGGGCCCTAAATCCAGTAAGTGGTGGTGTCTCTAAGAGAAAGGAGAGGAGGCTAGAGACACAGAGACCCCAGCGGGAAGGCCATGTGAAGACAGAGGCAGAGATGTCGGCTCCAAGCCAGGGAACACCAAGGCTTGCCAGCAGCCGCCAGAAGCTAAGAGAGAGGCATGGAGGGGTTCTCCCTCAGAGCCTCCAGGA